TGGTGTCCATTAATTAGGGGTTTGATTTTAGGGGACAAACATTGGAAATTGTTTTTCTAATTTAAATTAGTGTGTGGTTCCCCCGAGTGTTAAGTGAGGCCATAGAAACAGGTACCTGTGTCCTCTGTGAAGAGCGGTTCCCCCCAAGGCCTGGAAAGCCGTTAAAACTTGGTTGTTTAGTTAAAATGTAGCCTCATCTTCCCCTTGCCTGGCCAGTTCTCCTTTACTTCCATCCTTCCCGGCCACCATTTGCCCTTTTCAGGCCCACCCATCCTCTCAGGTCACCTCCCAGGGCCTGTGGTTTCATCAGCTGAGCTAATCTCCTTTTTGGTTTGTTGTGTCTTTCTAGAGATTTCCACGATTCTCCCCTTGGACTCCGTAGGCCCTGTGCTCTCTGCTTCCTGCTCCCTGCCCTGGCCCTCACTGCCCAGTGGCTCTGCTGTTCGCCTGCCTCTCTGACCGCCCCCAGGCCTCTGCTGACCAGGCCAGATGTTTCCACCTCTGGTCCCTCTCCCCAGCGTGAACTCCACCTGTTGCTGACTCCTCTCCTTCTACCAGGCCGCTTCAGCCCCTCACTAAGGTAGTGGACAGACTCTGTGTCCACGGGCCTTTTGTATCAACCAGGAAAACGTTAACTGTGCCAATTATTGTATTACTGTGCGTGCAGGCAGCAAAGACCAGGTGGGCTGGCCCAAGTCGGCCAGCGGCCCAAGGGTCGAACTTTTCTGAAGCTGTCCTGGCAGCCTCTCAGGCTGTGCGTTCCTATGTTCCTGTGTGGGTCAGCAGCAAACCACGGGGAGACCCGTGCTCTGGTCCGACTCTGTGACCAGGAGAACACAGCCCTGTGAGCGGATGTTCAAGCAGGAACGCACGCAGTGGTGGTCATAGGGCTTTACACAGACAGCAGGGCAGCTGGGAAAGGCCGATAGAAATGGGAGTGACAAGTAGGATCGTGGCTTCCAGGCCAGCTCTGCTCCTGCCTGTGTGAGCTTCTACAAGGCCAGCCCTCTGCGGGCTTCAGTTTCCTGGCCTGGAGAATGCGGCCCTTCAGGGGATCCGCCTGGGGTTCTTGTTGCAATACAGCTTCTGACTCAGTGAGCAAGACCTGAGATGCCACATTTCCATCGTCCTCGTAGGTCTTGCCTCAGCTACTCATCCACAGAGTAGCAAGATTCTCAACGACCCCTGGGATCTCTGTCTTTAAAATTCCACAATGGTGGTAGGTGACCCCTGAGATCTTCATTCTGCATCCCCTTGACCAGTGCCTCCTCCTTCTCTCCCATCCCCCCAGCCATTCTGATCCTCAGGAACAAGTCTGTAGACCTGGGCTTCGTGAGGCTGCATCCCCCTTGAAGGCCTGGTCCTCCCACACTGCTGTGCTGTGGACATCTTCCTCCCGCAGGACTCAAGCATTCCAGAGCAGATGCTTCCCCCTTGCTTCCCTTTGGCTCACCCTGTTCCCAGCCCAGTTTCTATCCCTTGGTGTGTTTCCCCGAACACCTGGCTGAATAATGGGGGACAGCCCTTGTCCACCCCCACCCGACAGCATTCATGTGCAGCAGTGGAAAGGGCGCTGGACGCAGCAGATCAACTTCCACGTGGGAAATTGGAGAGTAGTACCTTTAAGTAAGCAAACCAACTCCGTGCCACCTCAGGAGACTCGAGTCACTCTTTCTCCCATTAAGGTTTTCTGTGGTGGATCTTTGGTGAGCAGCTGATTATTTCAATGAAAGTAACTCAGAAGATGATTTTTAAAAAGAGAGACTTTGCATTTCAACACAGTTTAATCATATTTTTAGCATAACCATTATATTGAGGATTTAATTCAATTGAGATCTTGTGGGGCCTCAAACTGATGCAATTTTGGGATCCTTTTCTTAAGAGAAAGAATTCAAAATCATGACTACGAAATGCTTGCGGGCCCCCTGGGCGGGGTCTGTGCATGGGGCCAGGCCAGCAATGCCGGGCTCAGGAGTTTTGAGTGAATGCATTGAAGGAAGGAACCTGTCCAGCCTCTTGGTTCTGAGCCTTGGCAGTACCACAAGGTGGCAGTGTAGCTTCAAGCGTGGATACTGACAGATCCGCGTGATTTGTTTGGAGGCTCAGGGAATGTCCGCACCTACACTTTCAGTTGCATCCTGTGCTCTGCAACGGCTTGAGTCTCTGTGTGGGATTTTTCTTCCGGCAGGACAATCTGATTTCCTTCCCCCATACCTGGAAGGATTACAGGAACCTGCAACACCAGGAGCGCAGCGTAAGAAACTGTACAGGCAACAAAGTTTGCTCCTTAAACTTCTTATATGCCTTTCCCCCTTCTGTTTTATGGTAGCAAAACGAAAGTGTCTCACCTAACTTCTCCTACAAGTAATTTTAATGAGCTTCGGCTTTGCTAGTGGTTTTCGCCATATATTAGACTTTACATTGATCTTCTAGCCACACATCCCCTCCCGGTACCCCCATATTTGACAAGATTTTCAAAAATGAATACTTGTGCCATATAGCAATTAAGGACACACTTGTATAGCACTAAGGGGGTGTTCTGGCAAGGGGCCCATTCATTTGTCTCACGCAAATGGCCAAATATTCTTCCTCCCTTTTCCCACCCCTAAATCAATTTTGGGTCTTTTATTCCATTAATAGATGGAATACCATTTGGGTATTGGCAATTTTGCAACTCAAGTTTTAGGTTTAAAGGCAAAGAACTAGCACCTGTGTTTTAATGGGTGCGGATCTTCTACTGAGAGCTGTCCTCAGAAAGTCAACGGGGTGGGTTGGTTGTTTATTAAGCTTGCTTATATCAAGCACACTTACAGCCATTTAGTAAAAGTTATCAAATAGGGCATTTTACAGGATGTATTGAAGAATTAAAAAAGAAAAAATCTTCAAAGTTGAGTATTTCCCACTGTGTCACATAGTTGAAAATGTGTCATGATGAGACATTAGAAAACCAGTATGGTAACTAGTGACTTTTCCATCCCTTCTGTCTCCATCCCACATATGTGGCAAAGACTATGGGAACTGCCCTCAAAATTCTACTTTCTAACTGAAAATGGCACGTTTACAGCTGGTTTATGTACACTACAGTCCATGAGAGTCACCACATGGGCTCAATGCAGGCCACCTATTGGTACCTACATTACAAAAGAGTAATTCCTTCACGAATGAAACTGCCGGGAGGTGAAGTTTTTACAATGCTCCTGACTTTAAAAAATAAAATCGGCCTGATAGCTAAAGCAGGAGTTCTTATTGCAGATCTAATTTTAAAAATCCAATTAACACCAGGAACGACTCTGGAAGGGATTTGCAAAATGTTTCTACCAAGAAATTCTTCTTAAAAGCCTCTTACGTGAGAAAGATCAGTGAAGGCAGTAGTTTCTATCCTACTAATTAAAAAAAAATTTTTAAACTACTAAATATTCCTATTAGGAGAAGTAAAGAGAACAAACATCTTGGCAGGATGCAGAGAACAAGCCCCTCCCGCCCCAAATGTCTGATGCCCCATCATTAGCAGGGTAGCTGCCCATTTCTTATCTTGATTGACAGGTTAATAAGGGACCTGGGGCTATCTTTTCAGTATGAACACACAACCTTACCAATTACTTTTAAATTATTGCTAATCTGTCAGAAAATAACAAGCATGAGGAATAAAAATATCTGAAAAAGAGAAATGTCTGCTGAAGAAGCTTGTACTTCCTCTGCTTTAAAAGGTTCAGTTCAGAAAACTTGCCAGAATTTAGTCAATAGAATTTAGGCACTGAGGTTTTTTTCTGTTTTTTTTTTTTTTTTTTAAGAAAAACTTGTAGTTTATAATAGTTCATTGGTTCAATTAGGAGCGAAAAAGAAGGGAGTTTTGTAATGCAATTGTCCAGCAAAGGAAAACGCTTTAAATTGGGGGATTATGTGCACAGACCACCTGTAGGGCATTCAGAGCCCTGTTCTATAAGGCTTCAACCCATGCCTAGCTGCCTGCAGGCTGGCTAACAATGCCGGAAAAGCTGTTTAAAAGGCTGTGTGCACTTGTGCCTCTGGTCTTCACTAACTGTTACACGTCTTCCTCTCCCTTGCTCTCTCTCCTTTTTAAAGTAAAAGTCCCACATCCCTTTAATGGAAGAACTTGAAGGCTCCGCGGTGGCCAATTGGTCTGCACCAAGAGGAGCCAGGCAGCAGGGAAAGAAACTTCAGACTATACAACACATTTGGAGAGGAGAAAAGATCAAAGTTTTTCAAACTCAAAAGACCAAGTTCCCTACAGATTAACCCTATTCATTTGGCTCCTCTTAAAGGAATGATGTGCTGAGCCGCTGGGCAGACAGGTAAAAAGTTCGACAATTGCCAAAGCATTCTTCTGCTAATTCAACAGCCTTCTGCTCAAATAAATTAGTTTAGTCTTGACAGAGGAACAATAGCTTTTTTCTCCAGGAAAAGAAGCACATTTGATATACACAAGCCTGGAAGGTTATTAAGACGTTAACCCGTTAGTTTAATCCCTTAAAGACTGCCGTGCTCCAGTACCAGATTGTCAAGTGACTTGTACTGTCAGGTGTGATCTGTGGTTTCCACTGTTACCCTCTACACTCAGCAGTGTGCCCAGTCCCTGCACAAGCAGGTGTCCAAAATCACGCACGCGAGAAATGAACGTGGGGTTTTGAAGCCTTTAGTGATATGATACAAGATAAATAACAAGGCCTGTGTGGAATCACTGCCTTGCAAAAGCTCATTTACACACACTGAGGTGAGCGTTGTCATCCATGGATCAGAAAAGGGCTGCCAGGAAAAACACCATCTTTTTGGAAGGTGCAGCAACTCAGCTTTGATTTCAGTTCAACAGTGATATTTACTTTGCTAACAACTTAAGAACTCGAGTTTAACAGGTCATTTTCTCCATGCCTAAGGTCAGTGTACAGTATGAGAAACCAGAAAAACGTCCATTTTTCCAACGAGTCCTTAGCAAGCACTTTAAACGTAACAGTTCAGAAGAGGCGGGGGAGAGGGCAATGTTGAAATCATTTATCAAAAGTCATTTTATTGACAAAATAGAATACTTATATTTGTTCTTACAGGGGTGGACTCTAAACTTTTTACAAAAAATGTACAGACTGTATATCTTTGGATATGTACATATTTTACACATTTTTACAATTTGACAAATAATTATATAAATACATCCTCTAATGTAAGAAACCCGTATTTACTTGGGGTGTATAATTAAGACATTTCTTGTTTATTTAAGGCATGTGCCTGGTCATTAAGAATACCCAAACCGTGCAATCCGGTTAGGTCGCGGTCCTCCCTCGTCTAGGGTATGTTAGGAGTAAGAGCTCGCGCAGGAGAGTGCGGGGAGAAAGACAGCTTCCTCAGGGGAAATCTGTAGGTCTGGCTTCAAGCTCAGCAAGCGGCAACCAGCAAGGGCTCCAAACCTTGGGCTCCGGAGACGCAGCAGAGTCCACCCTCCTCTGCCAGCAGAAATTAACGCCTGGCGGGAGGAGCTCCTCGCAAATCAATGGAGGAGAGAGGGCTGGGCTGGGAGCCTTCAATGCCAGGTACTTTGTTCTAAGCGAGTCATTTAAGTCCCAGCTAATGGATACCATTAAGAGTTCATTATCATGCTAATAGCAATCAACACGGTGAAGGGGTGGGAACCTCAGCCCGTCGAGTGTCCCTTCGCAGCACTTGGTCTCCTCGCCCCCTCCCCGTTCCTCCCCGGTGCCCCCTCCCCTCCGTTCAGACCTGGGACAACGGCATCTGCTTTGGATAGGACACGGAGCTGGCCGTGCCAGAGCGCCACGTCAGACCCGTGCTGACGTCGC